AGAGTCAGGGATGTTGCTGCAGGAATTGGCAAGCAAGGTGGCAGTGGATGATTAACTGGCGGCCGATGCCATTCGTTGCCTGAAAATGGCAGCGTTCGGACTCCATGTCATGCACCAGTTGGAGGATGCTGAGGTGTGCAGTGGAATCCTGTCTGCACGTATCCCTGCTTGGATAGAATTTCGCATTGGCCCCAAGGTACTGAACCTCCCCCAGGAGACCACAGCCACAACCTGAGCCACCTTTTGGGTATATGTAGTGTGCCTTTCCACCTGGCAAAGAGATGTTTCTTGTACAGGCTGCTACTGCACGCCATCCACCTGGGCTCCTTTTTCCACCGTCCGGACGTGTCTTGGTATTTTCATTACTGCTGGGCGGCAGGGAACCCCGGTGGAAGGCTTTCTACGTGGGAGTCCTCCTCCTTTCCCTCAGGGACCTGAAGCGGAGGATGTTGTATGCAGCAGCCCCTTATAACCGCAAGTTGATGCAGTTCACAGATTCTCAGCTCGGCTGTTTATTTTGCGGCATTGTGAAGTCTGTGAACAATGTGTACATTGGGTGATTACACACCCTTTTTAGCTATTTGAGAAATCTTTTGTTATGTTTTTGGTTGCACTTCAGCCCTACGCTCCTGACCTTCAGGCATCTGGTGTGGAGGGGTGTGGGCACACCAGAGGAGTTCCTTGTGGGTCAACCCCAGGCCTGGCTAGGCTGGCTATAGACAGGTCTAGGCACTGGGCTGTGAAGGAGGTCATCTCTCATGACTGTCTGGGGCCCCTCTTCTCTGTTTATGTTTGAGCTTGGGTGTCATTGGAGAGGGTACACTGTGGTGTCCATCAATGTTCTCAATGCCTTTAGAGAGAGCTGGCCACCATGGGGGATACAGTGCTTTATCCCTCCCCCAACCCCAACTCCATTTTCTTTTCATCCCTTTCCTTTTGGGTACAGAAAAAAATTACAAGGCTATTGCTGGGACTGGAGGGTTTGAGTTACAAGCAGAGGCTGGATAGGCTGGGATTTTTATTCCTGGAGCATTGGAGGCTGAGGGGTGACCTTACAGAAGTTTATAAAATCATGAGGGGCATGGATAGGGTGAATAGCCATAGTCTTTTTCCAAGGATAGCAGAGTCCAAAACTGGAGGGCATTGGTTATAGTTGAGAGGGGAAAGATTTAAAAGGGACCTGAGGGGCAAATTTTTCACACAGAGGGTGGTGTGTATATTCAATGAGCTGCCAACATTTAAAAGACTTTTAGACAGGTACATGAATCGGAGGGGTTTAGAGGGATATGGGCCAAAAGCAGGCAAATGGGACTAGTTCGGTTTAGCAAACTGAATCGCCATGGACGAGTTGGACCAAAGGGTCAGTTTCTGAGCTGTTTGACTCTATGACCCTCCCTCCCCCCCACTCACTTTTGATGCTTTGCGTTGCCCATAATGGGCTTTGCACATAAATTTCTAATTGCCTACATGAGTGATTGCTGATGGTGGTTAATAGTTTAAAACAAAAAAACGGTCATGGTGATTTGGTGGGAAAGTTGTTTGCTGTGTGAGTTAACACTTCTGCGTATATAAAACAAAAGCAGACCCATGGGTAGAACTCTTGTGGCACAGTGGTATTGCTCCTGCGACTAAGCCAAGAGATCTGGGTTCAAGTTCCACCTGTTCCAGAGATGTGTACTAACAACTCTAAACAGATTGATTAGAAAATCTCACTATAAAGCAAACACAGTGAGCTTTTGTGGTGATTTCCTGGTGGTGGTTAATAGTTTAAAAACAACAAAAAAATTCACAGTGATTTGTGATTGAAAAAAAAATGTTCAGTTTTATGTAAGAGCACTTCTGCATAGGAACAAAAGAAATATGAAAAAACCAGAGGATTCTTGGGGGATGGTGGTAGTGTTCCTACCTTTTTTTAATTCGTTCATGGGATGAGGGAGTCGCTGTCGAGGCAGCATTTATTGCCCATCCCTAATTGCCCAGAGGGTAGTTAAAAGTCAACTATAATGCTGTGGGTCTGGAGTCACATGTAGGCCAGACCAGTTAAGGATGGCAGTTTCCCTCCCTAAAGGACATTAGTGAATTAGATGGATTTTTCCAACAATTGACAATGGATTTACGGTCATCGTTAGACTGTTAATTCTGTTATTTATTGAATTCAAATCCCATTATCTGCTGTGGTGGGATTTGGAACCGGGTCCCCAGAACGTTATCTCTGGATTAATAGTCCAGCGATAACACCACTAGGTCATCACCTCCCCATCCACCTCTGAACCAGGAGGCCTGGGTTCAAGTCCTACCTGTACCAGAGGTGTGTAAAAATAGCCCTGAACATATCACCATAAAGCAAACACTTCTGTGGTGCAGTAGTACTGTTCCTACCTATGGGCCAGGTGACCTGGGTTCAAATCCTACCTACTCCCAATATACCTTATAATCCATCAGGATAGGTTGATTATAAATATGTATAAAGCAGACCCAGGTGAGACTGTCTTGTTTTAGTTCCAAAGCAGAACAATCCTTATGACAGACCTGTTGAATTTCATTATGAAAAATACCTGTTTGCATATAAATGTTGATCGAAATAGCACAAGAACCTTCTGGATATGAGTTTGAACTTTGGAATGTTCTTTTCCTTGGCAGAGACAGAGAACCTAGGGGCAGTACTGATTTTTCTTTGGCAGACAAGTGTTTATATTTGGATGTATGTTTACATACAAACTGCAAACACCAATTGTTTCGTTAAATGTTTCTACACTTCCTTTACAAAGTAAACATAGCTTTTCTATCCATATCAGTAAAAAAAATCAGAAGTCCATTCATTGTTGAATATTCAGCTTTCAGTGTCTGCCTTTCTTTTTGGTGAGCTTGTTCCAAATTTGGTTTAGGTTTTGAAGATGATGTAAATGACACAATTCAAGTGGAACTATAAACTGCAATCTCAATGCCTCAGTCTTTTCCAACAGGCTTAAATTCAGCCTGTTTGGTGATGTAGCCATGTTTCCAAGACTGTGTACTATTGGATTTCATTTTTTTTCCAGGGTGGTTTATAGTGTCTTATAAATATCAGATTTATTTTTGTTAGTAATGGCTTGTTCCATACCTTTTCAGAAATCAGTATTAAATTCCATGGAACTTAGATTAAATACTTTTCTTGTTTTTATTCAAAATAAAGTGCATCAAATTATATATTGTCATTGGGTCCTGCTTGTCACTAATAAGCAATCAGTCATTGCATTTGATCTAATTTCCACATTCCTGCTCTATTGCTTCCTTGCTCAGCACTAGGTTGAACTCTGTTAACATATTCTGTGGTTCCTAGAATTGAAGTGCGGTGGAAAATGTCTGCAATTCACAGGCTTGAACGGCTAAGATTTCTTATATATCTCCAGTAATGTTGGCGAAGCATGGCAGAAGCTAACATAAAGAGTGGGACTGTGGGAAATTTTGCACTTTATAGATAGCAAATTCATTCTTATTGGTATTTCTAGTTAAAAAAATTTCTATAGCTGACAACTCAGCACCAATTCACTTTGAATATTTATTTGTAATTTTATGTTATGCTGCCCAATTTTACAGTAGTTTAACAAGACAATCTTTGTTGAGTATTTATTTATAAATCTTTGGACCACAGAGGCTGTAAAGTTCAACTGATAGTATTTCTGGTTTTGGTGCTAGGGATGTCTGACGTTGATGTAAATAACTGGGGGGATGGTGTTTTTTGGGGGGTGGGAGATGTATATGCTTCCAGGGTGACCCAATGTCAGAAACGGTGATAGAACAGGTTTGTGATGCACATTCCAGAATTATGCAGAGTAGACAGATGGTAGGTTCAATCAGTGTCTAATCCTGAATTGAAGCACAATTTATCATCTTTTACCTCGTAGTATCTGTTAACATGTTATTTGAAATCCAGACTGTAGAACCTGATTGCTTCAGCAGCTTTCAGGCGACTATTTAACTCAGCCGTGGCATTTGCATCACTTTTCCAGATTTCCTGATGAGTGACAGAGTATTCCTTGCATGTAAGAGATAGTCATTTTGGTTTGCAGATGCAACCGAACTCCTGATGTGCAAGATCTGGGCACTGACTTTCTATAAGAATCAGTCTAACCATTTGCTTGTGATGTTCAACCATATTAGCATGATTGAAACCCCCAGCCTTAACATCCTGGATCACAACTGACTAGAAATTGGACTAGCCACAAAGATATCATGACTTTAAGAACTGATTGGAAGCTTAAAGAGTCCATGGATAGAATAAGAAAAACAGAGTAAATTAGTCTAAGTAATTGTATACACAAAACTCTGTTTGGACCTTTTTGTTTTCCAGATACTTGAACAATTTGGACATGCCCATATATTTGGGATCAGGGCAATGTAATTACATAAATCTTTAAAAACAGGATTAAAGGTGGAAAAAAAACAAATGTGATTTTATAAAATTGAAGAAGTAAATTAAGAACCAAGAGCATGATGATTCATCTGCGCATTGGTGAAGCTTCATTGAAGCGTTGTGTGCATTTTTGGGCACTGCATTTTGAAAGGATTTTGGAGCCTTTGAATTGATTTAAACATGGATTCACCGGAATGTTACCAGACGTAGGAGAATTTGGATAACATCAGAAGTTTGGAAAGCAAGTGATTATATTTGCTGGAACAGAAGAGACTGAAAGGAAATGCTGAAAAGGTTCAAGAGAATAAATAGCGAAAGATTATACCACTGTTTATGGAATTGTTAACAAAGCAGTCATAAACTTAGGATTGATACTACGAGGATAAAGGGAGGGGTTTAGAAGAAATGCTTATTTCATAGACGCTTCTATCAATTACACTTTGTGGTTATTGAAACCAAGTCAGTCATAGTATTTAAGGGAGAATTAGTTTAAAGGAGAAGAGTAATTGGTAATAATACAGATAGCTATGATGTTGATAAAGCTAAAAAGCATTCTGTGCTGAAATTTTGCTTGTACTTAACTTTGCAAATTTTGACATTGTTACAGGAAAGACAACAGTGAATGGAGAAGAAGTTTGGACAATACTAGAAAGCACATTAATCCCGATTTATAAGAACATGGGACTTTTCCGTATGAAGGCGTCCTTCACAATTGTATTCATCAGTGGATTTCTTTATTTCAACATTGACTTCAATACAGCTCATGCTGGTGCATATTCAGGAAAGCCAAACTTCATCATAATACTGGCTGATGACATTGGATGGGGTGATCTTGGTGCAAACTGGCCATTGACTAAGGAGACTCCAAATTTGGATAAGATGGCTAAAGAGGGCATGAGGTATAAGAGTGTTAATACCATTCACAAAGAAATCTCTAAACATTTAGCCTCCATTTTTCTACATTCCTTTTTAATTTTTAAACTGATTTTCAACTCTACCTTTTTAAATCTCTAATTTCTATCTTAATTTAGTAAGGAGAGCTTTTCACTCAGTTGTTCTTCCACAACTCAAAAGTTTGAGTCTATAAGTGTGAGGCTGGGAAAACACAGCAGGTCAGACAGCATCCGAGGAGCAGGTAAGTCAGTATTTCAGTCCGAAACCCTTCATCAGTCCTTACCAGTTGACTTACCTGCTTCTTGGATGCTGTCTGACCTGCTGTGCTTTTCCAGCCTCACACCTACAGACTCTGGCTTCCAGCATCTGCAGTCCTTATTGTCTCCAAGTCACTCAAGTGTTTGATATGTTTTATATTTCTGTTAGTATAATCGCAGCAATAGTGTAAGAAAGTCCTGTTTGCGGATATTTGGTATAGATAATGTCCTAGCTGGAGTGGTCTGAGTATTGGAGAATCGTGGATCCCTTAAGTCTATTTTATGTTGGAAATTAATGCTGGTTTAGGTCTGTTAATGTGAATTTCAGTGCATGGTTTTGTGCATGTTGTTGAAGTGTTCATGTTAATAAACTCCCATTGACAGCTCCAAGTATTCTCTGAGACCATGCTTAGGTAGAATGTAAATATCTCTTAATCTGCTTTATAAACTTAACTCCAAAAAAGAAATAGCCTTTGTGTAATAATGTGTTGATAATGATTTTCAATAAAGATGGTGTTAAAGTGTTTGAGAGATTTCCCTTTGCATTGCAATGATCTCCCTTTGCAAAAAAAAATACAGTTACCTAAATGTTGACAAAAAAGCTGTACATTGAGCAAAGAGGAAAGTGACGACAAGGTATCAGCAGCAGCGGATTTGAATTAACAACTGAGCCTTGAATTATTGTCTGCCCTTCAGAGATCATTCAACTTGTTACTATACTATGTGGCTGTTTTCGGGGTAATACCACTTCCTTTCAAACATCCTGCACCATCGTCTTACGGGGGCCTCTACTCTCAATGTAGACTAGTTGAACACTTTTGGCCTTGACCACTCCTTTGTGGATGTGCTTGAGTTTCATGAACTGTGATTAGCTGTTTCTATTCCCTGCTGATACACCTGATCTTTGAAATATACTACTACTTGTGCTGTTTTCCTTTTTAACTTTAGTGTCCCCCTTTAATGCCTGCAATACTCTAAAGGCTGAGTTAGCACTTCATCTCTTTCAATGATGTTATTCCTCCTAGAGGCAGGACCCTATGAGTTGTGTTCCAAACATATCCTGTTCTGAGAACCCCAGGACGAAAAGGTTATGTTGTAGTACTGGATTCTTGTGAGTCTCTGGCAATTCTGCCACATCACTAACATATCAATTGAAGAAAATTGAAACAAATTCTGTTGCTGTCAGATCTTGTCTTTGTGTGAATCATTTTGTCTGCATGTCTTTCCCTGCAACCACAAATATACTATTGCATTCATAAACTCTATAGTAATAATGACTGTTTTGACATCTGGTTCTGATATCCTCAATGAAGTAGGGAAGGAAGATGGGATGAAGCATCCATTCTGTCACAGCAAGGAAAGCATGGATAACAATGGCTCACCAGAACTGCTAGTTTTGAGGTTGAAAAATTGCAGGAATGGAAGGATTACATAGGAAAATCCCTGTACCCGCGTACCTTTAAATTTTTACTGTTGCCTGGAGCACCACTAAGAATTTGAGGGGCTGCAGTAAAGTACTGTACCAAGGACGAGTGCACAAA